GTAGCAGAAATTTTGAGTAGTTCGGAGAACCGGTAGTAAAAATTCCGACTGGCCCCGCCCCCATCTATTCTCTGCCTCCCAAGTCCCAGCTGATCAGGAAGAAATGGGGATTTTGCAGTAACCTTCCCCTGCCACGCCTACCAAGCCACAAGCCACGCCCACAGAACCAGTAGTAAAAAGTTTTGAAACCCACCTCTGCTCCAGTCCCCTAATCATCCTGGTTGCACTCTTTCTAGAGTCTCAACATCTTTTTTATAGTGTGATGACCGAAACTCGATGCAGTACTCTAGGTGTGGTCTTTCTAAGGCTTTATAGAGTGGCATTAGTACCTCCCTTGAGCTTGAAGTGCAAAGATCTCAAACTGCATGCAAAAATTAAAATATGGAAGTGTATTTTTGCAGTTGCGTGTCTAATGGTCTAATAATCGGTCGATCCTAAAGAAAATCCACCCTGGCTGATCTTTGGAAGGACAGATTCTGAAGCTGAAATTCAGATACTTTGGCCACCTAATGAAAGAGAGGACTCAATGGAGAAGAGCCTGATGTTGGGAAAGACGGAAGGCAGAAGGAGAAAGGGACGGCAGAGGATGAGATGGTTAGATGGTGTCATCAACACAACAAACATGAATTTGGACAAACTGAGACAGGAGGGCCTGGCATACTCTTATCCATGGGGTTGCGAAGAGTCGGACGTGACTTACCGACTGAACAACAAAATCTAATGGGTCTCTCCCACAACTTCTGAAGGCAACTTCTCTTCCATTGGTTGATGATTCTCGCTGTCAAGAAACTTTCTCCTTATTTCCTCTCCTTGATTCAGTGTCCATCCATTATTCCTTGTCTGGCCTTCAAGTGCTTTGGAGTCGGACGTGACTTACTGACTGAACAACAAAATCTAATGGGTCTCAAGGCTATGAATAGAAATCAAAGGAAAACCCTTTTTTATGGTTCTCCCTGTGGGAAGAAATGAATCACATAGGAAAGTCTTGGAAACGTACCGATAATCCTCATTTAGTGACAACAATTGGGACTGCCATCTCTGTGGTTAGGCGAAGCGTTTGCTGAGTGAGGAATTCCGTCATTTTGCGATTGTGGCTTTCTTTGTTCCAGTTCCTACGTCCTTTGGAATGATCACCCCAACACTGGGATAATGAACAAGAAGAGAATTAATGTTTGTATTCATCGGAGAGAAAGGGATTGCAAGAGAGTAAGCAGGCACATAACGGGGAATATCGAAAGAACTGCTTTGGTGCCAGCAGCCCCGAGCACACAGCCCAGAGGTGGGCTTCACATAATTTAACAACCAGTTTGCCCCAAAAATGTAAGCGTGCTTACCGCGTGTCCTATTTAACACAGCTAAATAGGACAGCATAACACCGACTACCAATTTGCTTGAAGTGATACGAACCGGCTGAATCCTACTCCTGACACAGCCTGATGTATTTATTTGTTTGTTTGTTTGTTTATATATTTTTGATTTGATTTGATTTGTCCCTAAGTATCCTGATCCCCTGCTTTGTAGGGCTTTAAAGGTGATATCCAGTACTTTGAATTGCGCCTGAAAGAAACCTGGAAGCAGCTCATACAACAAAGGTATAACATGGCACCCAATATCTTCGAGACCGCCTACTGCCACCGACGACCTCCCATCGACCCGTGCGCTCCCACAGAGAGGGCCTCCTCGGGGTGCCATCAGCCAAACAATGCAGGCTGGTGACCCCCAGGGGGAGGGCCTTCTCTGTGGGGGCACCTACCCTCTGGAATCAGCTCCCCCCAGAGATAAGGAGAATCCATGACCTCAGTGCCTTCCGCCGAGCCCTTAAAACCTTCTTTTTCCAACAAGCTGGGCTGGCCTAATTCTTTTTAAGTGTTTTTAATTGTTTTGTTTTGTTTATCGTTTTAATTAATGGGGCCAAATCTATATATATTTTTAACTGTATTTTAATATTTGTATTTGATGTTTTTATTTGGCTGTTCACCGCCCTGAGTCCTCAGGGAGAAGGGCTGTATACAAATTCAAAATAAAATAAAATAAAAATAAATAAAATAAATATCATGCATTCTGCTATGTTCTGGACCAGTTGTAACTTCCAAGTGGTCTTCAAGTGCGGTCCCATATAAAGTTCATTGCAGTAATCCACAATCCAATGTGGGCCTGCTTACTCTCTTAAAAATCCCTTTCTCTCCAATCTCTCTATTCTGCAAGGGGGAATATAAAAGAAATTATTACACATTGGCATCCTTCAGTCTCAAAAGACTCTGGTATCGTGCTCTGGAAAGAGGTCCTAAAACAGCATCTGGTGTGACTTAAAAAGGCCAATTCGAGAGTGGCCATCCCTTCCACACTGAGGGCAGATACATTCTGTCCCCTGCCCAGCCTCCATATTTCGCTGGTTCCGGGACTGCCTCTTTGCCTCGGCCTGCCGAACAAGTATCTCTTTGAATTGGAGAAGGCCATGCTACGTCTTTAGCCTCCAAGCTGAACGATCGGAGGTCAAGGTTACCCAGTCGTTAATGTCCATTCCCAGGGCCTTTAGGTCCCTCTTGCAGATATCCTTATATTGCAGCTGTGGTCTCCCTCTGTTGTGGCTCCGTCCTCCGAGCCTATCTTATCGGAGGAAGAAGGCTCCGAACATGAAGGAGAGGAGACGGCCAGGCCTCCCTCTCCAGGACCCTCCTCTCTGGCAATGCCTCAGGTGTCTCCCGAAGGAGAAGAGATTGGCCAGGAGACAGGTGTTTCCGAGCCGTCGGATAGTGACGAAGAAACATTGTGGTTGGACCCACGCCAGCGTCGGAGAGACAAGCGTGAGCAGCAGAAAAGGAGGCGTGCCAGAAATTAAGCTGAGTCACTGGACCACACCCCACAGGCTATAAAAGGGAGTGTGGTGGCCATTCGGATTCTGTGGCGGACAAAGCTAATCTCTGGCGAGGCACTTGCACCTTCGAGTACACCTATTTGCCGTGGATTTAATTACAAACTGGACTATTCAAACTGTGTGTATTTTTGTCTGTGTTATCGGAGTAAAAGCTCTTGGCAGGCAGCCACGGAGTTGCTGCCAAGTTCCTTATCACTGACGTTGTGTGTTTGAAGAGTTTATTTAACCCTCGGCTGGCTGGTTGGGTGTGTGCATGGTACGGGGACAGAACACCCTCTGAGGCGCTTTCCCTGCACTAATTCTCCATACAGGAGATCTTTCGGAATCTGACCGTCGGCCATTCTCACGACATGCCCAAGCCAGCGTAGACGTCGCTGTTTCAATAGTGTATACATGCTAGAAATTCCAGCACGTTCCAAGACTGGGCTATTTGGAACTTTGTCCTGCCAGGGGATGCCAAGAATTCGTCGGATATGAAAGGTGTTCAACTTTCTCTCCTGCCGTGCGTAGAGGGTCCAAGACTCACTGCAGTACAAGAGTGTCCTCAAGACACAAGACTCGATAGACCTGGATCTTTGTATGTTCCGTCAGCTTCTTATTAAGCCATGTTCTCTTTGTAAGTCTGGAAAATAACCGCTTTACCAATACGTTTATCCAGCTCAGTATCTAAAGAGAGAGTGTCAGAGATAGTTGAGTTGAGGTACACAAAGTCATGGATGGGCTCCAGTCCTTGTGCAGAGATTGTAATACAGGGAGGTGAATCCACGTCCTGATCTAGGACTTGTGTTTTTTTTCAGGCTGATTCTTAGTCCAAAAGAAATTATATATTATATAAATTATATTAGGCGGGGGGGGAATGCGGGGTGGAGAGAAAGGGTAAAATGGTGACCATAATTGTATGATCAAAGCCCTACTGCTCTTTAATGTGTGTCACGTGGGCATTGCACTGAAAAAGGGGTGTGTGGCTTCAGTTGCAGGAGTTTTTTGACTTCCTGCCCCAATGGGCATCTTTACTTCCTAGTAGTTGATATAAAAATTGATGATGCAAAAAATTCTGGGAATGATCATCGGTATGAAGTCACAAAAAGTTGGTCTATAATCCGGTTTGTTTTTCAACGTGTCTAATGTTGATTCTTCTTCTTCTTCTTCTTCTTCTTCTTCTTCTTCTTCTTCTTCTTTTTCATCTGTTTCTTCTCCTTCATCTTTTTCTTCTTTTCCTTTCCTTTCCTTTTCCTTTTTCTTTTCTTCATCTGTTTCTTCTTCTACCTTTTCTTCATCTTTTTCTTCTTTTCTTCTTTTTCTTCTTTTCTTCTTTTTCTTCTTTTCTTCTTTTTCTTCTTTTCTTCTTCATCTATTTCTTCTTCTTCTTTTACTTCTTTTCTTCTTCACTTTTTTTCTTTTCTTTTACTTTTTCTTTTCTTCTTCATCTGTTTCTTCTCCTTCATCTTTTTCTTCTTTTCCTTTGCTTTTCTTTTACTTTTTCTTCTTTTCTTCATCTGTTTCTTCTTCTACCTTTTCTTCATCTTTTTCCTTTCCTTTTCTTTTTCTTCTTTTCTTCTTCATCTGTTTCTCCTTCATCATCTTTTTCTTCTTTTCTTCTTCATCTATTTCTTCTTCATCATCATCTTTTTCTTCTTTTCATTTGCTTTTCTTTTACTTTTTCTTTTCTTCATCTGTTTCTTCTTCTACCTTCTTTTCTTCATCTTTTTCTTCTTTTCTTCTTCATCTATTTCTTCATCATCATCTTTTTCTTCTTTTCTTTTGCTTTTCTTTTACTTTTTCTTTTCTTCATCTGTTTCTTCTCTTCCTCCTCCTCTTTCTCCTTTCTCTTCCCTCCTCCCTATCCACATCCTCATCTCCTCCTCCTTCCTCTTCTCCTCTTCTCCCTCTCCTCCTCCATCCCCATCTCTTACTCCTCCTCTTTTCCCTTCTCCTTCTTCCTCCTCTTGCCTCTTCCCCCTTCCCCCTCCTTCTTCCCCATTTCCTCCCTCTTTCCTCCCTCCTCCTCCTCCCTCTTCTCTTCCATCCCCATCTCCTCCTCCTTCACCTCCTGTCCCTCCCTCCTCCTCTCCATCTCTGTCTCCCCCTCCTTCTTCTCCTTTCTTTCATCTTTTCCATAAGGAGGATGTTTCCAAGCTACAAAGTGAAGGTAACTGGGATGAATCCCAAGACAAAGTACATCTTGCTGATCGATATTGTCCCGGCAGACGATCATCGATACAAATTCTGCGACAACAAGTGGTACGTGATCAATGCACGGTGATTTATTGATTTGCTTCTTTATTTTTTTTAATCCCACCTTTATTACTTTTTTATGAATAACTCAAGACAGTGAACACACGCAATACTCCTCCCTCTTCCTATTTCCTCCACAACAACAACCCTGTAAGGTAGGACTGAATTACTCTTGCACTGAAAACAAAAATACCCGACTAATGTCCGCATCTTGCACTTACGACTGTCAGCATCCTCATAGTCACCTGATGAAAATTCGGGCATTTGCCAACCAGCAGGAATTGACGGCCACTGCAGGCTCCAAAGGTCATGTGGTGTGGTCACCATTTGCAACCTTCCCAGCCGACTACAGGTAGTCCTCGACTTACGACCACAATTGAGCCCAACATTTCTGTTGTGAAGTGAGACATTTCTTAAGTGAGCTTTGTCCCATTTTACGACCTTTCGTGCCACGGTTGTTAAGTGAATCCGGCTTCCCCATTGATTTCGCTTATCAAAAAGTTGCAAAAGGGGATCACATGGCCTTGGGACACAGCAGCGGTCATAAGTATGAACCAGTTGCCAAGCATCTGAGTTTTTCATCGTGGGGCTGCTACAGAGGTCGTAAGTGTGAAAAACGGTCACAAGTCACATTTCCCAGTATCGTCGTAACTTTGAACGTTCACTAAATGAACGGTTGTAAGTTGAGGACTGCCTGTACTGACCAGGGAAGCTGGATTCACTTAACGACCATGCCATTCACTTAACAACTGCAGTGATTCGCTTAACAATCGTGGCAGGAAAGGTTGCAAAATTGACACAACTCCCTTAAGCAACAGAAATTCTGGACCCAATTGTGTTTTGTAAAAGTTGTAAAGGCAAGTCCTCGACTTACGGCCACAACTGAACTCAACTGCTCAGCGAGACTTGTTGTTAAGTGAGCTTTGCCTCACTTTATGACCATTCCTGCCACAGTTGTTAAGTGAATCACTGCAGTTTTTAGTAACCCTGGTTGTTAAGTGAATCTGGTTTCCCCATTGACTTTGCTTGTCTGAAAGTCGCAAAGTGGATCACAGGATCACGGAACACTGCAATTGTCGTAAGTATGAGTCAGTTGCCAAGTGTCTGGATTTTGACCATGTGACCGTGGGAATGCTGCAACAGCCTTAAAAATGGTCATAAGTCGGGTTTTTTTTCCCAGTGCCGTTGTAACTTTGAATGAATGGTTGTAAGTCGGGGACTATTTGGGGGGAAGTGTTGCTCCGTATGAAAGTTTTGTACGAAAAAAAAAAGGAAGCTGGACTTTTGTTGAGGTTAGCTAGCTAGCCGCCTTGCTGAATTGATAAAGAGAGGCTGGGAAATTTATGGAATATAGAATAACAGAGTTTGGAAGGGACCTTAGAGGTCTTCTAGTCCAACCCTGTGCTTTAATTTAATTTAAGTTCTTGTGTTTTTTTAAAAAGTTTTTTATTTTTTAGACAAACAAACATTTAATACATCAGTTGTCTCTTCTCTGTGACATCTCGGTGTTATCTTCCAAAGTTCTTTCTTTTTCTGTATAGTTGTCATTACTTCTATCTTGATCCTTATCCAGTCCACAATATCAATATCAATTATATGTCTTCTCCAACCAATAATGAAAATCATTCCATATTTTAAAATATTCTGAGTCTTCTCTATCTTTAATCATCAGAGTTAATCTATTCATTTCTGCACAATCTAAGATTTTTTTTAATTACTTCTTCTTCCAAAGGTATTTTCTCCGCTTTCCAATTTTGTGCATAAACAATCCTTGCAGCTGTTATTACATGTATTAATTTAAGTTCTTGTATCGTTTTGAACATAGGATGGTGGCAGGAAAAGCTGAACCTGCGATGCCCGGACGGTTATATGTTCACCCTGACTCTCCAGCTACTGGAACTCATTGGATGCGTCAACTTGTGTCTTTCCAGAAGCTAAAACTCACCAACAACCACTTAGATCCCTTCGGACACGTAAGAGAAATTTCCTAACGTTTCTTCTAGCCTCACTCTATAAACACTGCCATCTGATCACCAGTAGAGGAAGAGGAAGCTACCAAGGATGTCACCTATCTGGTAATAATGTCCCTGCAAAAATGATATCATTTCCGCCATGCAAATTTAGAGATTTACAGATTAACAGAGCTGGAAGGGGCCTTAAAGGTCATCTAGTCTGACCCCCTGCCCAGTAGGCCCTACACCATTTCTGACAGATGGCAGTCCAGTCTCTTCTTGAAAGCCTCCAGTGATGAAGCTCCCACAACTTCTGAAGGCAACTTCTGTTCCATGGGTTGATTGCTCTCACGGTCAGAAAGTTCCTCTTTATTTCCAGGTTGAATCTCTCCTTGATCAGTTTCCATCTATTGTTCCTTATCTGGCCTTCGGGTGCTTTGGAAAATAGCTTGACCCCCCCCCCTTTCTGGGGCAGCTCCTCAAATATTGGAACTCTGCTATCAATCAGCATAGAGCTGGAAGGGATCTTGGAGATCATCAAGTCCAATCCCCTGTTCAAACAGGAAACCCTACTCTACTTCAGACAAATGGTTGTCCAATCTCTTCTTAAAAACTTCCAGTGTTGGAGCATTCACAACTTCTGGTGGCAAGTTGTTCCACTGATTAATTGTTCTCACTGTCAGGAAATTCCTCCTTAGTTCTAAGTTGCTTCTCTCCTTGATTAGTTTCCATCTGTTTCTTCTTGTCCTGCCCTCAGGTGCTTTGGAGAATAGCTTGACCCCCAAATCTTCTTTGTGGCAGCCCCTGAGATACTGGAAGACTGCTATCATGTCTCCCCTGGTCCTTCTTTTCATTAAACTAGACATACCCAGTTCCTGCAACCGTTCTTCATATGTTTTAGCCTCCAGTCCCCTACTTTAACTAATCAAATTAATTCTGCCGATTAATTCTTTTGGAGATATTTATAAAACCCACTAAGGTTCCCCTTGATGAAGGCCCTTTGGGTACCAAATAGGAGAAGATAGAAGATGTTTTAAGTGCTACACACTTTTCTTTCTTTTTTTTGGTCAAATCTCGAGCTGCAGCAAAAGAGTTAAAAGTAACCCTCACGCGAGGCTCAGAAAATCCTAGCTTCCCTTTCTCCCACAAAGAGGGGAGGGGACGAAACTTCATCTGGAAAATGTCATCAATAAAAACTGCATTTCGGAAGGCATAGGATGCAGTGGCTTCGGTGGGTAAGGTTATACATTGCAACCAGATTTCAAAAAAAAAGGGGGGGGGTGCATTAAAAAGCTCATCCCAACCTCATGGACAGGCTCATCAATTCGACAAGAGATACAGCTTCTGTTTTCTTCTAATCTTCGTACCGGTCTCCAGCCAGTGAGGAGGTCAGCTGAAGATGACTGAAATGGAGAAAGGTTTCTTCCTTGATGCTTTTTTTTTTCCTCCAATGAGAATTTGAATCAAGGTTTTGGTTATCACCTTTAAAGCGCTCCATGGCTTAGGACCTGGTTATTTACGAGACCGCCTGCTACCACCAATAGCCTCCCACCGGCCAGTACGCTCCCATAGAGAGGGGCTCCTCCGGGTGCCGTCGGCCAAACAATGTTGGCTGTCGGCCCCTAGGGAGAGAGCCTTCTCTGTGGGGGCATCTACGATCTGGAACGAGCTCCCCCCGGAGATACAGAGGATCCCGGATCTGCGCTCCTTCCGCCGCGCGCTTAAGACTTTTCTATTTCATCAAACTGGCCTGGCCTAAATCTTCTCCCCTTTTTAAATGTAAATTTTAATTTGTTTTAAATTATGGGGTATTTTAAATTTGTTCAGCCAAATTATTTAATTCGTTTTTATTCTATTTTAAATTTTTGTATTTATGTGTTTTATCCTGTGGCTGTTCACCGCCCTGAGTCCTTCAGGAGTAGGGCGGTATAGAAATTTAATAAAATAATAATAATAATAATAATAATAATAATAATAATAATAATAATAATAATCCTATTTCATACACATGCTGTGAAGACCTACAGTAACTTTCTGCCGAAGGCTCCAATGTAGGACCTGATGGAAGGATAGAGAAGAGAACAACCAGCAATGAAGGGGATAGAATCAATTTTTCAACCTTAAGACACTTGAGGACGAGTGGACTTCAGCTCCCAGAATTCCCCAGCCAGCCATCAGTTACAGCAGGAGTGTCAAACTCAAGGCCCAAGGGCCGTATCCAGCCCATGGGGTGCTTAGATCTGGCCCACGGGGTCGCTCTGGAAACAGCGAGGGACCGGACCACGGTGCCTCTGCCAGCGAAAACAGAGCTCGGGAGGGCTGTGTGCAGCCCTCCTGAGCTCTGTTTTCGCTGGCAGAGGGTTGCAGGAGGCCATCGCAGCTGAAAATGGAACTTGCGAAGGCCGTGGGCAGCACTCTCAACTCTGTTTCCGCTGGCAGAGGGTTGCAGGAGGACGTCACAGCTGAAAACGGAGCTCGGAAGCCTGTTTTTGCTGACAGAGCGCTCAGGCCACCACAGGGAACCCCCCCCCACATGAGTGACATCGAACTGGCCATGCCCACCCTGGTCCCCCAAGGTCAAACAACCCTGATGCGGCCCTCAATGAAATCGAGTTTGACACCCCTGAGTTACAGTAATAATGGATGCATCATTTAAGGACCAAGTTGGTAGATCATCCTCCTGCCTAAGGTGGGACTAGAACTTGCAGTCTCTTCGTGATTGGTGCAAAGTCACCCAGCCATCTTTCATATCTAAGATAGGACTAGAACTCACTGTCTCCTGGTGATTGGCCCAAAGTCAGCCACCCAGCTTTCATACCTAAGGTAGGACTAGAATTCACCGTCTCCTGGTGATTGGCCCAAAGTCAGCCAGCCAGCTCTCATATCTAAGATAGGACTAGAACTCACCGTCTCCTGGTGATTGGCCCAAAGAAAGCAGCCATCTCATACCTAAGATAGATAGACTAGAACTCACCGTCTCCTGTGATTGGCCCAAAGTCAGCCAGCCAGCTCTCATATCTAAGGTAGGACTAGAACTCACCGTCTCCTGGTGATTGGCCCAAAGTCAGCCAGCCAGCTCTCATATCTAAGGTAGGACTAGAACTCACCGTCTCCTGGTGATTGGCCCAAGTCAGCAGCCAGCTCTCATATCTAAGATAGGACTAGAAACTCACTGTCTCCTGGTGATTGCCCCAAAGTCACCCAGCGAGCTTTCATGTCTAGGGCAGGACATAGAACTCACAATCTTGGTGATTGGCGCAAGTCACTCAGCCATCTTTCATATCTAAGATAGGACTAGAACTCACCATCTCCTGGTGATTGGCCAAAGTCAGCCAGCCAGCTCTCATATCTAAGATAGGACTAGAACTCACTGTCTCCTGGTGATTGCCCCAAAGTCACCCAGCGAGCTTTCATGTCTAGGGCAGGACTAGAAAACTCACCATCTCCTGGTGATTGCCCCAAAGTCAGCCAGCCGCTCTCATACCTAAGATAGGACTAGAACTCACCGTTTCCTGGTGATTGGCCCAAAGTCAGCCAGCAGCTCTCATATCTAAGGTAGGACTAGAACTCACCGTCTCCTGGTGATTGGCCCAAAGTCAGCCAGCCAGCTCTCATATCTAAGGTAGGACTAGAACTCACCGTCTCCTGGTGATTGGCCCAAAGTCAGCCAGCCAGCTCTCATATCTAAGGTAGGACTAGAACTCACCGTCTCCTGGTGATTGGCCCAAAGTCACCCAGCGAGCTTTCATGTCTAGGGCAGGACTAGAACTCACAATCTCCTGGTGATTGGCGCAAAGTCACTCAGCCATCTTTCATATCTAAGATAGGACTAGAACTCACCGTCTCCTGTGATTGGCCAAAGTCAGCCAGCCATCTTTTCATATCTAAGATAGGACTAGAACTCACTGTCTCCTGGTGATTGGCCCAAAGTCACTCAGCCATCTTTCATATCTAAGATAGGACTAGAACTCACCATCTCCTGGTGATTGGCCCAAAGTCAGCCAGCCAGCTCTCATATCTAAGGTAGGACTAGAACTACACGTCTCCTGGTGATTGGCCCAAAGTCCAGCCAGCACCCATCTTTCATATCTAAGGTAGGATTAGACTCACCGTCTCCTGGTGATTGGCCCAAAGTCAGCCAGCCAGCTCTCATATCTAAGATAGGACTAGAACTCACTGTCTCCTGGTGATTGCCCCAAAGTCACCCAGCGAGCTTTCATGTCTAGGGCAGGACTAGAACTCACAATCTCCTGGTGATTGGCGCAAAGTCACTCAGCCATCTTTCATATCTAAGATTAGGACTAGAATTCACCGTCTCCTGGTGATTGGCCCAAAGTCAGCCAGCCAGCTCTCATATCTAAGGTAGGACTAGAACTCACCGTCTCCTGGTGATTGGCCCAAAGTCAGCCAGCCATCTTTCATATCTAAGGTAGGACTAGAACTCACCGTCTCCTGGTGATTGGTCCAAAGTCAGCCAGCCAGTTTTTGTGTCCGAGGCAGGACTAGAACTCATTGTCTCCTGGCTTCTAGCTTGGTGCCTTTACCACTAGACTCAACTGGATTTCAGGGCTGCACCAATCCCAGAGCAACACAATCACCTCTTCGAAATCAAAGCCAACCAACTCAATGGTTTTAAAGATTTATTTATTTATTTATTTATTTAATTAATTAATTAATTTTTATATGCCGCCCTTCTCCGGAGACTGAGGGTGGTTTACAATGCATTAAACAATAGCCTTCATACTTTTGTATACAAAGTCAGCTTATTGCCCTCACAACCCGGGTCCTCATTTTACCCACCTTAGAAAGGATGGAAGGCTGAGTCAACCTTGAGCCTGGCGAGATTCGATCTTACTTTAATTGCAGACAGCTGGATGTTAAATGCTGCCTTAGTAGGAGGCATTAGCACCATAGAGTTCCAATGATTTCTTTTAGCAGAAGGGTCCACGGAGATTCTCTGTCATCCAAGTCATGGTGGCCTCAAAGGTACTTTTTCAAGAGGCAACTGGACTTTCTTTGTTTTTCTTTGAAGATGTTTCACTTCTCATCCAAGAAGCTTCCTCAGTTCAGCAGAATGACTTCAAGGAAAAAAAAGAAAGAAAGTCCAATTGCTTCTTTAAAAAGCACCTTCGGGACATTTAGCTTTATTGTTAATTCTCTTTTTTCCTTCTCCTTTTCCTCCCACAGATCATCCTCAATTCCATGCACAAATACCAGCCCAGGTTGCACATTGTGAAAGCAGACGAAAACAACGCATTTGGGTCAAAGAACACAGCTTTTTGCACTCACGTGTTCCCAGAAACCTCTTTTATATCTGTGACATCCTACCAAAATCACAAGGTACGTCTGTATTTCTTTTTTTTTTGCTTTGTGAATTCGATATATAGAATAATAGAATAAACAGAGTTGGAAGGGACCTTGGAGGTCTTCTAGTCCAACCCCCTGCTTAGGCAGGAAACCCTACACCACTTCAGACAAATGGTTATCCAATCTCTTCTTAAAAACTTCCAGTGTTGGAGCATTCACAACTTCTGGAGGCAAGTTGTTCCACTGGTTAATTGTTCTCACTGTCAGGAAAATAAATGTGATGATGCAAAATAAACGTGAACAAAGTAAGATTTTTTAGAACGTCTATTAAATCTGAAGCGGTCAATTCTTCTTCATCCCAGCAAGCTCATGTAAATGATCACTCTCAAAAATATAAAGATTTCTTTTTCCACAACTGCCTTGCTTATTTCCACATGTGCAGGCTGTGTGCAGTCCAGAAATTAATCATAGACAGTACAGTATATTCCCCCCCCCCCGCCGTTTCTCCTGATCTTATTTATGCATTGCATTTTTAATGGGATAGTACTGGGACAAAATTAAACGAAAGCAAAAAATTTCTCCCCCCCCCCCTTTGTCGTTCTCTCTCTTTCTCGCCCTCCCTCCCTCCCACTCTCCCCCCTCCCTCTCTCTAGAGCGGGGTATAAATAAACTCAAAACTAAATTTCTCCATGAAATTCGGTTCTTGGTGACTTCATGGAAAAATAGATTTTTTTTTTTAATTTGATTTATATGCCGCCTTTCTCCAGAGACTCAGGGCGGCTTACAATGCGTTAAGCAATAGCCTTCATACTTTTGCATATTTATACAAAGTCAGCTTATTGCCCCCACAAACTGGGTCCTCATTTAACCTACCTTAGAAAGGATGGAAGGCTGAGTCAACCTTGAGCCTGGTAAGATTCGAACCTGCAGTAATTGCAGGCAGCTGTTTTAATAACAGAGTGCTTTAAACCACTGTACTACCAAGGCTCCTATTTTTGGCAACAATCTGCAGATAATTGCCATTCATTGTTGTGATATTCATTTCAAACTAGGTTACAGCGTTGGGATTTTCTCCTGAGCTTCCACAATCAATTATTAATCTGGTCTGATTCTGTTTAGGTTTTATTTCCCCCAAAATGATGAGGATATCAAACCTGCTCTCAAAAGGTTGAAAATTAACTGTCGAATAATCCTAGGATTCTCTGTATTGGGGAACATTCTCCAGAAATTGTTCTTTTTATTAGTATTCTTATTCTTTTTAATGTTGTGCACTGCCTAGAATAGTGTTCCTTAATCTTGGTGACTTTAAGACGGGAGGACTTCAACTCCCAGAATCCTTTAGCCCAGCCATCAAGCCAGAAGTCCACTTTAGGCCAGTCTTCCTCAACCTTGGCAAACTTTTTTTTTTTTTTTTAATTTGATTTATCTGCCGCCCTTCTCCGGAGACTCAGGGCGGCTTACAATGCGTTAAGCAATAGCCTTCATACTTTTGTATATTTATACAAAGTCAGCTTATTGCCCCCACAATCTGGGTCCTCATTTTACCTACCTTAGAAAGGATGGAAGGCTGAGTCAACCTTGAGCCTGGTGAGATTCGAACTTGCAGTAATTGCAGGCAGCTGATGTTAATAAATTTCAGAAATAAACAACAGAAATTAAATTTTTAAAAAAGGGATGATCAAAGCAAACAATTATAATGAAACGGGGGGATTTTATAATAATATAATATAATATGATATGATATGATATGATATGATATGATATAATATAATATAATATAATATAATATAATATAATATAATATAATATAATATAATATAATATAATATAATAATATTTTTTTATTTTTTATTTTTATTTATTTTTATATGCCGCCCTTCTCCAGAGACTCAGGGCGGTTTACAATGCGTTAAGCAATAGCCTTCATACATTTGTATATTTTTATACAAAGTCATCTTATTGCCCCCACAAACCGGGTCCTCATTTTACCCACCTTAGAAAGGATGGAAGGCTGAGTTGACCTTGAGCCTGGTGAGAATTGAACTTGTAGTAATTGCAGGCAGCTGGATGTTAAATGCTGCCTTAGTAGGAGGCATTAGCCTCCTACGCCACTCAGGCTCAGCAATATAATATAATATAATATAATATAATATAATATAATATAATATAATATAATATAATATAATATAATATAATATAATATAATATAATATAATATAATATAATATAATAATATAATAATGCAATGCAATGCAATGCAATACAATACAATACAATACAATACAATACAATAGATGAAGAAATATAATGGGGGGAAATGGTCTCCAGAGGCGTGGGGGTGCACTGTAATATTTGTTTTTTTTTTTCCTTTTTCCTTTTCCTTTTTCCTTTCTTTTTTGTATTTAGATGTATATGTATCATGTTTGTATTATTTGTATTTAAAGAATAAAAAAATATTTGAAAAAACCCACACCTTGGCAACCTCCAGGTGGGTGGACTTCAACTCCCAGAATTCCCCAGCCAGCCATATTGCGGATTTTTAATGTTGTAACCTGCCTAGATTCACCTATCTGTGAGTTGGGCGGCCATATAAATTTCTTTAATAAATACATATATAAAATCTCCTGCCGTTTGAACATGAAGGAAAAGTGGAGCCTTTTGTAAGGTGTAAGGAAGGTGTCGGAAGTGGAATTAGGAATTTGGAACAGAAGCTATTGGAAAAGATTTGTCCATTGTCCTTGTCCATAGATACCTTCCAGGTCAAAAAAGTCAAAATGGCAGCCAGAACTATGGGGTTCAAGCCCCACACTTCAAAGAACTGCAGAACCTGGGCCGCATCGTTGTAGCTGCCATCTTGAGTTTTTTTGACATAAGCAAAAGAGGGCGGGGCTTCGAGCATCTGGAGAGACCAGGTGATTAAAACCCCACCCTGCCCAGGTGATTCAAGGCCTGCCTTCTCCAGGTGATTGAGGCCCCGCCTTCTCAGGTGACTGAAGCCCCCCCTTCTCTAGATGATTGGGGGGCCACCCTCTCTGAGTGTTTGAAGCCCCACCCTCTCGAGATGATTGAAGCCCCACCTGCTTCAGGTGACTGAGGCCCCACCTTCTCAGGTGACGGAAGCCCCGCCTTCTCAGGTAACTGAAGCCCCGCCTTTTCCAGATGATTGAGGCCCCACCCTCTCGAGATGTTTGAAGCCCCACCTTCTCCAGGTGATTGAGGCCTCACCTCTTTTATTTGTGGCAAAACACTCAAGTCAGAAGTCACAACAATGTGGTCCAATCTTTTGACTTTTTTACCGTCTCCTGTGTTGCTTTCTTGAAATATTGTGGAAATTCGGCATAAAGACAGATGTTGCATGAATCAAGGAATCTTGAATATTGCTGAGCACATTGTAAGCCGCCCTGAGTCTTCGGAGAAGGGCGGCATATAAATCAAAATAAGTAAAATAAATAAAATAAAATAAATCTGGAGTCAGGAAAAAAAAAGGAAAAATGTTTGACCAATCAGGTTCCAGAGCTGGGCCTGAGGTGGCTTTCCTTCACTTTCACCTTGCAAGATCCATTAAAAAAAATAAATCCTTTTTTTCCCTTAGTGGTAGTCCTCGACTTATAACCATTCATTTAGTGACCGTTCAAATGGCAACGACGCTGAAAAAAGTGACTGATGACCTTTTTCACACTGATGCCCAAGGCAGCATCCCCATGGTCACGTGACCAAAATTCAAACACTTGGCAACTGACTCGTATTTATGACGGTTTGCAGTGTCCCGCGGTCACACGATTCCCTTTTGTGACCTTCTGACAAGCAAAGTCAACGGGGAAGCCAGATTCACTTAACGACCATGGGACTAATTTAACAGCGGCAGTGGTTCGCTTGAACAACGACGGCAAGAAAGGTCATAAAAATGGGGGCAAAACCCACTTAACAACTGTCTCGCTTAGCAGGTGCAAATTTGGGGCTCATAAGTTGTGGTCGTAAATCGAGGACTACTGTAATTCTTGCTTTTTTACTTCACAAGGAGGCACCAACTAGAGCCAAAGACAATGAAGAAGGAAAGGGGGAGGGGCTGTGTTTTTCCATCCATTCCCAATTTAAGCCTGAAATCTTTTCACAGAGAAAAAAAATCTGTTCCTGAGGGGTTTTCCCCCCCCCCCACTTTTGATGCTCTGCTTTTTTTGGCAGCCGATTGTTATTTATTTGCTACCGTCCATCAACCGGGAGTCAGAAAGTCTTCCGGATCTTCTGACCCTGGTAATTTTAGGCCTGGCTCCTTTTTTTACGGGGCCACACCGGGCTTTAAAAGGAGGACCTCCAGATGCCTCCAGAGTCCTGCAAAAAAGAGGATTGCAAGCTTTAAAGAGCCATTAAATTTATGGGAGGAACTGGCCCCCTGAATTTTTTTATTTTTTTCCTCCCCCCCTTGCTTCCTGATGAAATCTAAAGCGCTGGCTTTATAAAAAAAAAATCCTTGACAGGCACAGTCAAGGATGGGCTCGGGTCAATTTAGGAAAAGCCAGACCGGATACAGAGGTGGGGTGAAGGAAACCAGGCCTCTGTGTGTGTGTGTGAGATCCTACTTTAGCAGAAAACAGACAGAAAAAATTATTATTATTATAGCTTTATTGATTAGCTTATAGGCCTATGATGGTGAACCTATGGCACGCGTGCCCAAGGCGGCACACAGAGCCATCTTTCTGGGCACGCAAGCTGTCGCCCAACTCACCTGCAGCTGCGCATGTGTGCGCCCCCCCAGCTGGTGTTTTGTCCTCTGGCGCGCATGCGTGCAATTCCGGAGACCCAGCTGGTCTTTGGAGCTCTCCTGTGCATGCACATGCGTTTGTGCATGCGTGTGCAAATACCTGCACGCAGCGTGTGCATGCACAGATGGTGTTTGTGCGTGTGCATTGCGCATGCAAAATCCATGCACAAGCACAGATAGTGCAATTGCGCATGTAGCACACGGGGGAGCCATGCAAAAGTCGCATGCATGCACAGATGGTGCAGTTGTGCGCACAGTGCACGGGGGAGTCACG